TGCATGGAGGTGGGGCCGAAGATTGATATTTCGATCAACTCAATTGGATTCGAAGAGATGGTCAATTTGATTCATCCAACATCCTCACTGTCTGCTGACTTACGAAAGAATTGAAATATATTCAAGTGGCGTTCGTTTGAAAGGTGAAATTGTCAATACCTTGCAAGCCCATATCAAGTCGAGGTCTTCTCAGTCGGTTAGGATTATTTGCTCTAGTTTGCTCATATAAAGACGAAGTCTTCTCTGTCGGTTTGGATGAGTATGGTCTAGTTTGCTCATGCAAAGGCGAGGTCTACTCATTCGGTTGGGATGAGTATGGTCTAGATTGCACATATCAAATAGAGGTCTTCGCAGACGGTTGGAATGAGTACCGTCTAGATGGCTCATATCAAGTCGAGGTCTTCTCAGTCGGTTGGGATGAACTCATATCAAGTCGAGGTCTTCTCAATCGGTTGGGATGAAAGCACTTATCAAGTCGAGGTCTTCTCAGTCGGTTGGGATGAGTATGGTCTAGCTTGCTCATATCAAGTCGAGGTCTTCTCAGTCGGTTGGGATGAGTATGGTCTAGCTTGCTCATATCAAGTCGAGGTCTTCTCAGTCGGTTGGGATGAGTATGGTCTAGCTTGCTCATATCAAGTCGAGGTCTTCTCAGTCGGTTGGGATGAGTATGGTCTAGCTTGCTCATATCAAGTCGAGGTCTTCTCAGTCGGTTGGGATGAGTAGGGTGTAGCTTGCTCATATCAAGTCGAGGTCTTCTCAGTCGGTTAAAATTTGTATCGTCTAGCCTGTTTATATCAAGTCGAGTTCTTCTCAAACGGTTGGGATGAGAAACGTCTAGATAACTCATATTAAGTCGAGGTCTTCTCAGTTGGTTAAGAGGAGTATGGTCTAGCTTGCTCATATCAAGTGCAGGTCTTCTCAGTCGGTTGGGATGAGTATGGTCTAGCTTGCTCATATCAAGTCGAGGTCTTCTCAGTCGGTTGGGATGAGTATGGTCTAGCTTGCTCATATCAAGTCGAGGTCTTCTCAGTCGGTTGGGATGAGTAACGTCTATCGTAATCATATCAGATTGAGGTCTTCTCAGTCCGTTAAGATAAATATCCTAGAAGATACTGGTTTAACCGTCTGTAAAGACTTAGACTTGATAAGATAAACGAAGAGGAAACTGATTTTAACCGACTGAGAAGACTTAGACTTGAGTAGAAAAAGGTAGAGGAAACTGATGTTATCCGACATAGAATATATAGACTTGAAAAGAATAGGTAGAGGAAACTGATTTTTACCGCCTGAGAAGACATAGACTTGAGAAGATGAAAGTAGAGGAAACTGATTCGAATCGACTGAGAAAACTTATACATAATATGATAAATCTAGAGGAAACGGATTGAACCAACTGAGAAGAGATAGACTTGATAAGATAAAGTTAGAGGAAACTGATTTGAACCGACTGAAAATACACAGACTTAATCAGACAAAAGCAAGAAAACTGATTTCCACCGACTGAGAAGGTTTAGTCTTTATAAGAAAAAGGTAGAAAAAACTGATTTGAACCGACAGAGAAGACTTAGGCTTGATAGGATAAAGGTAGAGGAATCTAATTTGAAGCGACTTGTATTACTTAGCTTTGTTTAGAATAAGGTATAGGATACTGATTTAAGCCGACTGTGAAGATTTAGACTTGATAAGATAAAGGTAGAGGAAACTGATTTGAACCGAAGGAGATGACTTAGACTTGATAAGAAATAGGTAAAGGAAACGGATTTGAACCGACTGAGAAGACTTTCACTTGTTAAGATAAAGGCAGAGGAAACAGATTTGTACCGGATGAGAAAACTTAGACTTGATAAGATTTAGGTATAAAAAACTGATTTGAACTGACTAAGAAGACTTAGACTTGATAAGATAAATAAATTGAAAAACTGAGTTGAACCGACTGAAAAGATTTAGACTTGATAAGATAGAGTAAATAAAAACTGATTTGGACCGATTGAGAAGACTTAAACTTGATAAGATTAAGGTAAAACAAAATGATTTTTACCGCCTGAAAAGACATAGACTTGATAAGAAAGAGGTAGAGCAAACTGATTTGAATCGACTAAGGAGACTTAATCTTACGAGAAAAAGGTAGAGGAAACTAATTTGAATTAACGGAGAAGACGTTGACTTGATAAGAGAAAGCCGGACGATAGTCATAAGAACCGACTGAGAAGACCTCGACTTGATAAGATGAAGGTTCACGTAGTAATAGTATCCGACTGAGAATACATTGACTTGATAAGAGGAAGCTAGACGATAGTCACGAGAACCGACTGGGAAGACGTTGACTTGATAAGAGGAAGCTAGACAATAGGCATTAGATCCGACTGAGAATATATTTACTCGATAGGAGGAAGCTAGACGATAGTCATTAGAACCGACTGAGAAGATGATGACTTAATAAGAGAGCTAGATGTAGTCATTAGAACCGACTAAGAAGACGTGGACTTGATAAGAGGAAGCTAGACGATAGTCATACGATCCGACTGAGAAGACGTTGACTTGATAAGAGGACGCTAGAATTAGTCATGTTTACCGACCTGTTCAATTGATGACAGCATTCATTGAATTGATGAAATTGGGATGGCATTTCTTCATATGATGACAACATTCATTGAATTGATGAAATTGGGTTTCATATGATGACAACATTCATTGAATTGATGAAATTGGTGGATCAATTGATGACAACATTCATTGAATTGATGAAATTGGGTGTTCAATTGATGAGAAAACATTCAATTATTGACGATATTGGTCCAATTGATGACAACTTTCATTGAATTGATGAAATTGGTTCAATTGATGATATAAATATTCAATTATTGACGATATTGGTTCAATTGATGAGAACATTTGTTTCAATTGATGATAACATTGCATTATTGACGATATTGGTTCAATTGATGTTAACATTCATTGATTGAATTGATGAAATTGGTTCATTTGGTGGTAACATTCATCCTTGAATTGATGAAATTGGTTCAATTGATGATAACATTCAAATGAATTGATGAAATTGGTTCAATTGATGATAACATTCAATATTTGATGAAATTGGTTTATTTGATTACAACATTCTTTGAATGGATGAAATTGGTTCAATTGATGACAACGTTCATTGAATTGATTAAATTGGTTCACTTGATGACAATATTCATTGAATTTATTAAAATGGTTCAATTGATGATAACATTCAATCATTGACGAAATTGAATCAATTTATGACAACATTCATTGAATTGATGAAATTAGTTTGGGGGACTCGTCATCGCCTGCGCGTACACATAGGCTTGAGGTGCGGCCGTACAACTTCGCGTACTGATTGAGGACAAGTGCACGCAGCCAATAGCAGCTCAATGACCCTCACTTGTTTTACCAAATCCGCCATGTTGTATGACTGAGTTTCCTTCCTGTATACACTTATTGCGTGGTTTATCTACTGAATAAACGTGCTCCGTGCTACACGTCTGTTTCCTTCATAGCTGGGATATAGCCTATCTGGTTCTAGGAGTCTAGCTAGATGTTGGAGAATTTGCCATAGAGATTTCTGAGTCAGTCAGGCTTTACTAAGGTAGTAACCCGCTACAAATTGGTGACCCTGACGTGATTACCAAAGTCTGACTTCAATCGCTCAGCAGAGAATCAATCTCTTACTGGCATCGGGATTTTCTTTCCTCGTCCCTCAATTTCCTCGGTGATCTCTTCCCGCTCGAATAATTATCACCTTACGTCCGCTGCCGTTTCTCACGACAAGTCAGATCCTGACTTCCGCTCAATAGAGACTCCATCTCTCATCGGCGACGCGATTATTTTTCACATCGCTCTCCTCATCTGATGGTTCCTTCCCAAGAACGATCAGCACTTCAACGGCACCACAACTCCCTCCTTTCACTGGCTATGACTCCCTCAGAAGGCCCTTGGAAACAGGCAACAGCCGGAGCACGTTGCCTTTCGAATGTCCATTTTTTCTAGACTTAAGAACTTCATCCTTCTACCCTATGCAAATAACCGCCGAAGCACGATAATCTTTGAAATCCTACCCTTACAGATCCCCCAAAACTCCAACTCACAACTGCATTTCAACCGGCAAGCCGAGACCAATCGTCAGGCAAGCACACGCCGGAAGATTTGAACATGGTTTGTTCGCAACCAAACATCCGTTCAAGGAGAAAGTTGAACACCGATCGTTGCATATCGAGGTACATCCAACAGGACGCTCGTCAGTGGAGCAAATACTGCCTCAATCGCTCAGCCGGCAAGGTCCACAAGCATGCACAAAGTCCACAATCCTACTGCCTATCATTCCAACAATCCCGTCTCAGCAGTTCCAAAACCCGTCCCACCTCTACCAAATACCCTGTATCTCTATGGCCGAAAATCTACCTTCCCCTCTTGGCTGGCCGACTATGTACAGTCCTTAAATCGAGCGTTTTCTTTCTCATTTCAGGTTCCAACAAACGCTCTAGGGAGGGAGTAATGTGGGACACGTCATCGCATGCGCGTACACATAGGCTTGAGGTGCGGCCGTACAACTTCGCGTACTGATTGAGGACAAGTGCACGCAGCCAATAGCAGCTCAATGACCCTCACTTGTTTTACCAAATCCGCCATGTTGTATTACTGAGTTTCCTTCCTGTATACACTTATTGCGTGGTTTATCTACTGAATAAACGTGCTCCGTGCTACATGTCTGTTTCCTTCATAGCTGGGATATAGCCTATCTGGTTCTAGGAGTCTAGCTAGATGTTGGAGAATTTGCCATAGAGATTTCTAAGTCAGTCAGGCTTTACTAAGGTAGCCACCCGCTACAAGTTCAATTGATGATGCTATTCAATTATTGACGAAATTGGTTCAATTGATGACAACATTCATAGAATTGATGAAATTCGNTCATTTGTCGATAACGTTCAATCATTGACAAAATTAATTCAATCGATGACAACATTCATTTAATTGATGAAATTGGTTCATTTGGTGATAACGTTCAATCATGAACGCAATTGGTTCAAATGATAACAACGTTCATTGAATTGATGAATTCGGTTAATTTGGTGATAACATACAATTATTGACAAAATTAGTTCATATGATGACAAACTTTATTGAATTGATGAAATTCTTTCATTTGGTGACAAAATGCAATTATTGACGAAATTGGTTCATATGATGACAACATTCATTGAATTGATTAAATTGGTTCATATGATGACGGCATTCATTGAATTGATGGAAATATGGTTCATTTGGTGATAACGTTCAATTATTGACGAAATTGACTTGATTTGATGAAATTGGTTCAATTGATGATAACATTCATTCAATGATTGAAAAATTTAATGAATGTTGTCATCATATGAACCAATTTCGTCAATGAAATTGGTTCATATGATGACAACATTCATTGAATTGATTAAATTGGTTCATTTAGTGATAACATTCAATTATTGACGAAAATCTTTCATATGATGACAACAGTCATTGAATTTAATGAAATTGGTTCATTTGGTGATAACATTCAATCATGAACGCAATTGGTTCAATTGATGACAACGTTCATTGAATTGATGAAATAGATTCATTTGGTGATAACAGTCAATTATTGACGAAATTGATTCAATTGAATTGATGAATTTAATATATATGGAGATAACCTTCAATTATTGACGAACTTGGTTCAATTGATGAAAGCATTAATTGAATTGATGAATTCGGTATATTTGGAGAAAACCTTCAATTATTGACGAAATTGGTTCAATTATTGACAACATTCATTGAATTGAATGATATTGGTTCATTTGGAGATAACATTCAATTATTAAAGAAATTGGTTCAATTGATGACAACATTCATTGAATTGATGNATAACATTCAATTATTGACGAAATTGTTTCATAAGATGACAACATTTATTGAATTGATGAAATTGGTTCATTTGGTGATAACATGCAATTATTGACGAAATTGGTTCATATAATGACAACATTCATTGAATTGACTAAATTGGTTCA